GGGGAATGTGGGGGGATAATTGGGCTTCCAGTAACCACATTCACACACAATGCAATCGTTGTTTCACGTAGCTTTTCTGTAAGGCCGTGGTATCACTCTAGTCACGCCGGCGTGGCCCATTCGTGCCGAAGCATGGCTCCCCACACATCTCTAACCACTCTTACTCTCTCGCTTTAAAAAAATATTAATATAGTTATAACATAATTTAGACTACTTATATATTATCATAAACTTAGTTATTATCGATCATTATTAGCAATAAAGAATCACAATATTCTTAGAGTACGTGTAATCACAAAAAGGAAACCTCATATCCTCACCCAAGCAAAAATAACGAAAAAATATTACTACACGTATGCCCTTAAGAGTTAATATCGCTTGAGTTACAATGTGTAATTTAGCAGCCGTTTTAATATAGAATGTGCTTCTCTCTGACTTTAGGACGCATGAATACATACTTTTCGATGTTTGATATAAAAATAGACCTTCTCGAAATAAACGTAAGTATTAAAATATTATTTTACTAGCCTCAATTTACACCTTTTAGATTTTACACACATATATTGAGTTTAATTTCCTAATTCCTAAAAATTTTGAGTGTTGTTTGTACATTGTCAATATTAGAGGTAGTAGATGGATGGCTCATTTTATCACCATCATCATTAGATGGAACAAGTCCACTGCTGACAACAGTTCAATAGTTGGTATCCAACGGTTGCCCACGTGTGACAATGTCGTCTTTCCACCTAGCAGGTCTGCTCACGCTACGTCTTAAGCCACACATGCTCACACTACCACTCGTTCACGACCCTGCGCTAATATCGCATTGACATTGGTCACGTGCGAGTCTGTGTATTAGTGTATCTACCATTCATAGACAAAAACAAAGTAATTAATAGTAAAATATGATTCAGTATATAGACTTGATTCACTTTAAGAAAATTATCTTGAAAAATCCGCGTTGACCGAAATAAGTGTGGGAATAAGTCTAAGTGTGGGAGAGCCATGCTTCGGCACAAATGGGCCGGCTCGACCGGAATGATACCACGGCCTCACAGAAGACCGACGTGAAACAACGTTGTGTTGTGTTTCATCGTGTGAGTGAGATTACCCGATGCCCAATTACATATAATTAATTATCGGTGATCTATCTGTACTCAGTCAAGACGCTAGAGCTAGATTGAACACAATCAAACTTAGTCGACCTGAAAAAGGCGCCATGGTTGAAAACATGATCTGTAGAATGGCCCAGACGGGTCAGGTTCGTAATAAGATAACAGAACCAGAACTGATTCAACTTTTGGAATCCCTCAATCAACAGTTGCCTAAATCAACCAGCACTGTGAAGTTTGACAGAAGGAGGGCAGCACTCGACTCAGATGATGAAGATTTCTAGCACTACTTAATTAAGTTGACTCATGGTATTATACCATCATTGGAATGCCTTAGCACATTAAACGGTTATATTCTCTCCAGGCCCAATGAAATTTATATATCTACTGACTGCAAGGTTTGGCACTTGGTGCGGTGGCTGGACAACCAGCTGCCGCGCAACTTGTCGCACGTTCAATTCCCGCTCGGAACAACTCTTTGTGTGATCTACAGACAGTTGTTCCGGGTCTGGGAGTCATGTATATGTTAACTAGAATGTTTTTAACCGCACCCACGACACAGGAGTAAATCCTAAGCAACGTTTTTTTAAGAAATAAAATGGATGCCCCTAAAATCTCATTCATAACAGTATTACGCTAGTAACTTGTGACTACCGACGCCGATGTTAAGTTGCAAGGAAGGTACTCGGTTTGCATGCACAAGTTTGACATCATAAGTGTACTTACCTTAGTAGACGAACAACATCTGGTGATGAATTACTTCGTGCTAGAAGTTTGTGTTGAGTTAGTATTTAGTTGTTCAACTCACTTCTCTAGGCGTCCTAAATTATATGTATGAGTATAGACGCTTAAATGAACTAAGTATCTGTTAAGTAATTACTTGAATATCTTGAGAATAATTATTTATTAATATCTAGTTAGCGTTGCTTGTATTGACGATTTATACCGTAGACATAGGCGTCTGATTTGAAATCTTGTAACCGTTTTTGAAAATGTTGTTGAAATGTGGTTATGCCAAGTACGAAATGTAATGTTCATTTCGTAGGCAAAAAAGTACCTTACAATTGTCAAGTAATTACAACGAACAAACGAGCTTACGGGTCACCTGCAACACCAAATGAGTCACAGTTGCATTGCCAGGCATTTAAAAAAAGATACGCTCTGTTTTTGAAGGTTTGAAGGTAGTATCGGTTCGGAAATACCGCCGACGACAGATCATTCCACAGTTTAACTGGGCGAGGCAGAAGTAAGTTAAGTTAAGTAAGTTCCGGAAAAAGAGTACAGTTATGGCCTGCCAACCATCTATTTATATGATGGGGATGTTAACACTGTCCTGTGAGACGACGACAAAAAGACGGGACAGGTATCAGACCAAACTATTCCTTTGAACACTCCTCGTGATAGGTAGATAAAAGATGCACAGTGAAGCTACATCTCATCTCAAAATGTCTAGCCGTTTTAAAATATCCCGACACAAAACAATCCGAACTTACTTGCCGAAGATACTCGCCAACGCCCAAAGATGAGAACAGTACTCTATCAATCCGCATCATATAGAAGCACGCGATGGGCCGGGGTGAAATATTGCCTCGATCTACACACCAAGTTTCTTCGAGGCTAATTTGGTCTGATACTTTAGGTAACCGCGCAAATGAACGGCTCTCGAAATATCGACACTAAGTTCCTATTAGTATCGGCTGAGGCAGTTAGGGGGCTTCTTTAAAACTGAAGAGAGACAACTAACGGCAGTTTCTTAGCAATCACAGCACAGATCTTCACCGCATAAATTTGTTTACTATGCATATGTAAGATGATTAAGAAATTAGAATTTACTGAAGAAAATGTTCTAAATCTCTTCCTACCCATTTTGCTTACAAATGCTGATATTCATTTGAAATAGCAAACACAATTAATGGCCTACACATATCCAGAGCCTGAGATATTCGCCTAGTTTCAGCTTCACTAAGACAGAATATTTCGCACATATGCATTGCGTCAAAGAGAACTAGAGGTAGTATTCGTATGAATGCACTGAAGCAGGTGTACTACCTGCTTCAGTACTATGGAGTTCTACGTAGTTTTACATTGAATAAATCCGATCCAGAATTTCAATATTAAAGATTTAGAAAGGTTATATAATTCCTACAGTGAATAATATTTAATAGAAATAACAAGATTTCACTACAAACGATTCTATATTTCTCTTTTCGTGAATAGTACTAAGCATAACAAATTGTCGCCTCACTATTCGGGGAAGCGATGACAAATTATAGTGAAGTACAGCCGACAGATAAATATTCAGATGATAAACAATTTTGCCTAAAGAACAGATGGCCTTTTATATTTTTTTGAAACGAAATTTCGACATCGAACGAATAATGTGCCGTAAATCGACTGCACGGTTGGTGCGGTGGCTGGGCAACCGGCTGCCGTGCAACGTGTCGCGGGTTCGATTCCTGCACGGAACAACACTTTGTGTGATCCACAAATTGTTGTTTCGGGTCTGGTTGTCATTGTGTATATGAACTTGTATGTTTGTAAACGCACCCACGACACAGGAGAAAATCCTAATGTGAAATGGTGAACCAAAACATCGTGAGCACACCTCGCCAACACGCATTAGGCAAGCGTGGTGATTAATGCTCAAATCTTCTGTGTATGAGAAGTGGCTTTACTCGGCAGTGGGCATTTATAAGTTAAAGATGATAATAATGAACTAATCTGTATGATATAAGTGGGTTATCTTACAGTAATGGCGACAATAGGTATCAAATAAAAATACCAAATAGCCTGAAATTTCACTTTATATACATTAATTTACCTTATGTACAAAATGATCATTAACAAATGATATAAGTTATTCCATACTACAGTATAAAATTAAATATATTACATAGTTTACACATAATTATAAGTTATCCGAATAAATAAATTACTTACAGCAATTGAAGAATATAATTTAAGACTATATTTTGACTAGATTAGTTACATTCTTAGAAAATATTAGAAATCTTTACAGCACTGAATAATTAGGCTAAGCTGAGAAAAGTATTTTCTTTATTCATTTTGTTTATCGGCCTACTCACGTAGCTGTTTGACGCGGAACTTGACTAGTTTCAAGCCATTAGGCATTCATGAGCAGCATTCCGCGATACACAACACAGCGACTGTCGCGCTGCTACTAGTTTTTTTTTATTTAAACACTTATTTTATCATAACCTGTTTTTACTACCAACAGATGGCGTTGATCATCTACATTTTTCGTTGAGGTAGGTACCTTTAAGTTACTACTAATACCTCACAAAATACTTTCTCACATTTCGAGATCGTGTTCTTAAAACTAAATTATATTTACGACTTATTATAAGAAGAAAAAACAAAAGCAGATTACCTCTAAGTCATTGATTAAAATTACAATAATCTCGAATTTTAATTAACTTAGCGCGTTCCCTGTATTTAAAAGCTGTTTCAATAACTTTGTATGCAATGCCATCTAGCGACAAAATTTACCTTTAAACAGTCAGGTCAGTTTGTACAGCCTGAAAATAATCTTGCATACAGCGCCACCTAGGGGAACTTACAAAGACTAAGCTACAGAAAGAATAGGTAAGTTCAAATGCTGAATACAGATGGCGCTTGACGTATATTGGAAGCCATCGTATTACGGTATTAGAAGGGATAGCTTTATAATTATAATTACGCAGATTTTACAGATTATTTAGAAGAAGTTATAGAAGCTTCTGGTTTTTTTTCAATTTTTAAGTCATTATATCACCATTGTAAATTTTTGCTGTTCATAGAACTTCAAACAAGCCTAATGCGTGTCATTTTTATCGTTACAACTAAGTTTAAAAGTATTATATTAATTCTCACATTTAATGTCGTTTATTACAAAAATTGTGGGGTCTTTTGGTATCTGTCCTTCCATCCGTTATCTCTAAAGGATGCGGTTCTGTTGGCCCTGCCATATTGTATGCTCGGAGGTCCGGTAGCGATCCTTCCAATCTGGTTGTTGCTGCTCCTGAAAGTTACAGTAGTGCAAGTCCTCATGCTAGACGTGTTGGATTTTTGACGTAAACCTTGCATCTGAAAGAAGAAAATTTTACAATGTATCGGTACGTACCGGTATTTCAATATGAGTGGTATTTACACTGAATTTCGAGGTATGACAACTAAATATACTAATATAATAATTTTATTTGACATTTATAAACATTTAACGATGATTAAGTAAAATCGCGGGCTACTCACGTGAATATACTAAGAAAAGCTCTACTAGTTTCAAACCACAGAGGGGTTCTTCCTCATGAGCAGCGTGCGCGGTCGCGGCGGCGTCGCGCAGCGCGTCACTGGGAGCTGCTTAAAGAACCCCTCTGGGGTTCGAAATTAGTAGAGCTTTTCTCATAATACTCACGTGAGTAACCCGCAATTTTAGTTAATTTAGTATGTCATATGATAGTTATTATAAAAATTTAACGAAAATAACATTATAAATATTTAAAATTGACTGATTTAGTCTGAAACTTTATATATTAATATCTTATTATTACTTGCTAAAAAAATTGCATGCCATAACAAGTGGTAAACATGTATCAAGTGCAACTATTTTGTTTTTTATCATCCCACATACATACACACGCAGATGTATATTTTTGCGATTTGATAATATTACATATTCACTAACTACGTACACGGTTCTACTGAAAAAATACTTTTATACGTAGGTATAAATAGTAGGTGTATTCATTTAATAAACCTCTCCTTTTTTAACTAAACCAGAGCCAACAATACGAGATAAGAAAAAAAAACATAAACAACTTTAAAGCTTACCCACAAAGTTGACTTTTGATTGAGTCAACAATTAATAAAGCTTGCAATGGCAAACTGAACTTAATTTTCAGAATAACAAGATTAACTTTTGTATAGTTGCTGTGTTAACAATGTTATCTCGTTTCAGCTCTATTTTAGTTGACTGTTTCATGGATGAAAATAACAAAATGTTTGTTAAACTAATTAGTGCTAGTTTGGTACAAAAGTTAAGTTTTAGTGAATATACTAACTACAGTCTTATCGTAAAAGTTGACAATATAATACTAAAAGGTTAACTAAACAACTACTACACTACACAACTAGGTTTTGTTAGTTTAGTAATATTAGTTAATAAATGTACGTATTAATTAAATTAAGGGATTATGCCTGTATTGTTTTAAAAATCACTTTTATTTTTTTATATTTTTTCCGATTCAGATATAAAAGTTTCTAAATTTGAATAGAGACAAACGTCTGAATTGATTTCTTCGTCCTTTTTACTTGGGAGTTTAAAAAGAAATTCACAATGACATATTAACAAAATGCAAAGTTCGGTAGGCGCTTATAAAAAGGAATGTGTAAATTGAATGTGTAAACAGAATAGAGACTGTTTGACCAAAGATTTCAGTCAAAAATTAGTAGAAGAAAGTATTATCTTTGTGGGTTATTCAATATTGACTTTATCGATGTTTTTCTGTAAACTTACATGGAAATGAGTACTAGAGTGTATGTTACCCGGATCGTGGCAGATGAGCTTGCGCAGAGACCGACGGAAGTTGCGCGTCATCAGGCAGTACACGATGGGGTTGATCGCTGAGTTCGTGTGCCCTGAAATCATGGGAAATGTGCTTTAAGTTTATGTATACATACATGCGTAACATCACGCCTTTTACGCCCGAAGGGGTAGGCAAAGGTGCATATTACGGCACTTAATGCTACTGTACAATGTAACACTCACTTTTCACTATTTATGTTATGAGTCCCATGTAATAGGGGGTGAGCCTATTGCCATATACCGGGCACAATTCCAGACACCGTGCTACTACGGAGATTTTTTTTTAAACCCAGTAATACTGTGCCCAACCCGGGAATCGAACCCGAAACCCATTGCAGTCGCAATAGCGACCACTTGGCCAACGTGCCAGGTAAGTGTTTATATACAAAGTTTTAAAAGAAATATATTTGTTCTGAGCTACCGTAATGCTACCGTGTCTATATATAGGTACATAGTTTATACGTGTATTACAAGCAGAACATTTTTATTCAAGGAGGTAAGATGTATATTTTCCAATATAACCTGATCTTTAGTCCGATATAAATGCTATTCAACAGAAGTTCATATTATTATAGTTAATGGTATATAAGATTTGTGTAGCAATTGGTGTTCCATAGTCTCTTCCTACCCCCATAGAAGATAGGCGTGAGGTTAGGCATATAACTATGTATGTATGCTGTTATATCACATAAGAAGACGACTATGGTTACTAAGAAACTATGTTACTAGACTTTGGGACTGACCTACTACTAGAATATTTTAAATATTTAAATTCTTAATTTGGTATATATTTCTAATTAAGGTAACTTAATAATATAAAGCAAGTTTAAGTAAGTAGTTGTACAAACTACTTAATGAAAACATAATTTGTTTTGTGAGTTACTTTAAAAGTCTTTGAAGTATCTATTACAAACTTGTTAGTGTTTTTAATTTATTAATTTTCTTTATTTTTTGCTTCGATTGTCTACTGAGTGCAAGGTTATTGTGTATTAGGTTAGCAGAAACTACAAGGATCTAGTTTTTAACACATTTTTATATAATAATAATTTACATTCAGTGTTTATGTCCCTTAAGACAGTTTTTTTATGGCATAAGCCGGTAAACGAGCCGGTAATCGACGTCGCACATGGACACCTGGAACACCAGTGGCGTTGCAAGTGCGATATCGGCCTTTTGGGGATTAGAAATTAGGAAAACATGACAAAACACAACGCAAGCGTTGTTTCACGTCGGTTTTCTGTGAGGCCGTGGTATCACTTCGTTCAAGCAGGTCCATTCGAGCCGAGGCATGGCTCTCCCACACTCGAACAATATGGTAATATGGTGGTTGGTAATATGGTCTTTTAAATAATATCCACAAACAGAACCCACATCTTTTACTATTAGCTTTTAATGAAGTTAAATTATCTGACAAAGCCAGATATTCATGTAAAATGTTCATAAAACAACAAGTTGGCAAAACATAATTTTCTTAATATATTTTTTCATTGGATAATTATGGTAATATAACTTTTGTAATAAAGAGAAGGAATGTTAATTAATGTTCCAGATGTATGAGGAATTGTTTGGTATTATAAAGGTCAAAGGAATATAATAATATGTTTATTAGACATTTGAGAACGTATTCAGTAAATAACTATAAATAGCTTCGACTTCCTTGCTATTACTAACCTAATTAGTAAAATAAAAGTAGGTATGTATATGTTACGAATGGGCCGGCTCGACCGGAGTGATACTACGGCCTCACAGAAAACCGACGTGAAGCAACGCTTGCGTTGTGTTACGTCGTTTGATTCATATTACCGGAGTTATCCATTTGCGAGTTACCCAAAATGTTCCCAATCCCCGAATCCCAACAATCCTCCACCGGCAACGAACTTTTTACGTCTCTAGTTTTTTGGGTGTCCATTGGCTGCACCGATTGTTTACTATTACATGATCCGTCTGCTTGTTTACCAGCCTATCTCATAAAAAGGTACATACACTTCGATAAATGTTACTACAACAAAATTTTAATAAACATTAAAAATACGTTGACCAAGACTGCCTCGTTGACCAAGTGGTCGTAAGTGCGACTGCCGGGCAAGGGGTCTCGGGTTCGATTCCCGGGTCGGGCAAAGTATTACTGGGTTTTTAAATATTCTCAGTAGTAGCACGGAGTCTGGAATTGTGCCCGGTATATGGCAATAGGCTCACCCCCTATTACATGGGACTCATAACATAAATAGTGAAAAGTGGGTGTTACATTGTACAGTGGTATAATGTGCACCTCTGCCTACCCCTTCGGGGATTAAAGGCGTGATGTTATGTTATGTGTTAAAAATACGCGCCCAGTTGTTTTAAGACCCACGTTATTAAGTAATAGTGGGGAGCCTAAAAAATAACCTGGCGTCATCTATAGGTCCTACTAGTACTAAAAACTGACACACACTTTAAAATTAAACCATTCTGTACTGCCTCGTGGAACTCTTTGCTCGATAAAATACGATAATCAGAATAATCCGATATGAAGTCACGCTTCCATATCGCAAAACTTAATTAAAATCTAACCGCTTCACAATAAGCATAGTAATTTTCAATACAAAATAGAAGAATGGGTGTTTAATTGAAATCTATTCAGGTTTAGACTTCCTATAAATAGACGTCTATTTGAATAGAATAGTTGATTATCGCGTTTTAATATTATTATTATGAAAGATTTCTTGTTTTAATCCCAAGAATTTAGTAAGAAGTACTACGATTTAAAGGTCGTCACAGTAATTTAAATAGAAGTCTACACGTTTTGCGTAGGTATATCAAAAGGACTGTAAAAATTAATTTGGTCCAGTCTGCGATGTAAGTCAGGGAAAATAGAGGGAACCAGATCACGAGGTAAATGATCTATGCGCTGGACTGATCAAGCCAAATCGGTAACGGGAAACTTCTATTTATTTCAACCTTTTTAAGGATTTCATCCTGATTGGTTTAGAGATACAAATTGGGTTCTATATCATATATTTGGTATCGTAATTTCGTAAAATATATAAAAATATGTTGGAGTGATTGTGTTTCGTTATTTTTAGCCATTAAAGGGTCAATTTACTGGTTCGGTTAGTACCCATTTTCCTTATAAGATAGTCTTTAGGCATTTCAATCAATTTTATTATCATAACAATGCATAACTATGCACCAGCATTCATCCAGTACTGTAATCCAGTAAGACTGGTGTCTTAGTCGCGGAGAACCTTACGGGTGCAGGAGAAGGAACGAGGTGGTTTTTAGTTTATAAGAGTCTGGCACTCCCTCTCGCCTCACCCAGGCGAGAGAAGTCATTAGATGATTTTCCCCACCAAAAAAAGTCACAGCGTTAAACGTGCAGACAATTTAGTTTTACCTAAATGCTTCGATTGATTTGATATTGTACTTCTGTGAAAACTGTACGTCATTTTTTGTATTAAAATCTATAGGAGGAGACATATTCCATTCGATATCCAGTAGTAATGTAGCTAAATCATGCGTTAACATAATCCGGTTAGTGGACAATGCGAATTAATACCTTAATACAGTCACAAAATTAATGATCAGGAGTTCTCGACTGACAGCTTACATATTGATATGAAACATGTATTTTGTTTTATGATTCTGTACTTGTAAATTGATAATTATGGTCTGACTGCAGAGTTGAATACATTTTTGTAACCACCCTTGCTTTTTCCAAGGGTAAGTGGTAATAGGTGATGGCCTAGGTTCTACTAATTTTGACAAAAACCAAGCTGTGCCAAATGAAAAAGGAAATTATGACAAACCCTGTTTATTTACATGATAAACCGATAAACGAGCAGACGGATCACCTGATCTTGATTTTAAGTAATCGGCGCCACCCATGGACAAAATGAAACACCGGAGGCATTACAAGTTCGTTAGCGGTCATTTGGGGGTTAGCAATTTGAGGATTATTGGGGCTTATTTAAAACTAGCTTTTACCCGCGGCTTAGCTCGCGTCACAAAAGGATAAAAAGTAGCCTATGTGACATATACCAATACACAGCGCCATCTATACCAATAATTTCGTTTTCCCTCGAGAATATAAAATTTTTACGGGATAAAAGTACCCTATTATTTAATCCAGACTTCTAAATTCACATCTGCAAAAATTCAAAGCAATCGGTTTAGTAGTTACGGCGCGAAAGTGGAACAAACAAACAAACAAACTCACTTTTCGATTTATAATATTAGTAAGGATATGAGGGTCATAGTTTACTAGTCGAGTCTCACGATCTGTTGATGGTGATGACATGAATGTTAATCAAAGACAGTGAAATGAAATAGAGACTCACCCAATAACAACGTGTACGGCAGTATTGCTGACACGGACTCCACGTTGACGGCGTTCACGTCTATCAGCAGCTGCAGGATGTTGTAGGGCAACCAGCACAGAGCGAAGAGTACTGCCAGGAGTAGCAGGATCCAGGCCACTCTCTTCCTCTCCCTCACGATCCTTAGGCGCTGGAATTAAAAGATAAAGTTCTTTCACATTTTTTTTACAAACCACGTTTAAAAATCTGACTTAAACCCCCTCTTTTTTTGAAGTCAATATACTAGAACCTTCTCCTACATTTTTATGAAAACCGTATCAAAATGGATTCAGCCAATCACGAGATAATTGCGCACAAACATATAGACATAATACATAATTACATACATATAGGTCAAATTGAACCTCTTTCTATTTTGAAGTCGGTTAAAAGTAGTCTAAAAATTATGTCTATTAGGTATGCCGTTTTTTTTTAAAAGAAGTCATCATTGTCCGCCCCGTTAGTAGTACGGTGGCTAGAAGGTCAGCCTATCCTTTTCTGTCAATTTTTTCTATTACATCTTCAACTTTATTGTATTGGTATAAAGTCGAAAATCCAATGAATTAATTTACCAAATTGGAGTTGTTGATCAGGGTAAAAATATTTTTTAACCTAATCGCGGTAAATCACGTTAAGCAAAGGGACCCCCCTGTTACTTCATTTAATTGAGTGAAAGGTACAGAAGCAAATGTTTATTTAAATACAATTAATAATATCTGTATGATAAAATTGGAGTGTCTACACAGGAGGTGTAAACAGACGTTTATAATATGAAAATAACAGCTTTTTACTACATTCATATGAATATACATACGATACATAATACCCAAATAATATTTTTAAATGTTTGTCTGTTTGAACGGGCTAATCTCTGAAGTGGCTGGACCGATTTTGACGGCAGGTAGCTGAGATACTAAGGAGTAATATAGGCTACTTTTATTTTGGATAATTGAAATAAGAAAATAGTTATACTCTTTTTTCCTTTTTAAAAGGCCAGCAATGCACCGGTGACTCCACTGGTGTTGCAGGTGTGGGGGTGGCGTTGATCACTTAGCATCAGGTGATCAATCTACTCGTTTGCCTCCTATTCCATAAAAAAACTCTACGTGGATGAAGTCGCGGGCAAATCTAGTCCCTTTATAAAATTAACCCCAACTTTACCCCTTTATATCTTTGTTAAGTCCAAAAGTAGACTAATAGAAAAACTATTTACGTTTCAGCTAAAAGTCTACAATAACAATTCATTCAGGCTAACCAAATATAAGTTTCAGGCAAAGATCAAACAGTGCATTGAGCCATAAACGTTTCTCAATACACGAAATAGTTTTCCGAAGCAATTTTCTCAAGTAAGTAATACAATTTGTAACATTCGAAGTGAATCGCTGAAGAACCCTTTTACTTCGCGTGTTCATTGTTGTATATTGAACATGGCTTCTATAGTTATATAAATATGGGTTGTATCTCGAGTCAATAAAGTATATATGTTACGGGTAATGCTAGAAGGTGGAGTAAACCTAGGTTTATCCGGGTTGACTTCGTATTACCCAAGCTACTTGGGTAAAGTCCGAATAATAAGTAAAATAAATTTTAATTCGAGGTTTACCCATGCTCACCTAGGTCTACTCAACTCTGGCTGGGTAATGTAAAAAATTCGTCTAATTAATTAGTGAAATGAAAATCCAAGGGCATTTTAAACATTTGTTATTTAAAAAAACATACAAACCCGAACGTAATCGCTTGAAAAACATAAACTTAATAGCAAAAAGTAATAGCGGTCGTTGTTATTAAAATTGAAATTATTTATTTGAGCAAGATAAACTGCTATGACATTTTGAATTGCAATATTTTCCTGCAGCTTTGCATGAACACTTCTTTGTGGCACATTTTGTTTTGCTATTACACCTTTTATAACCCTGGCCTCCTGAAAGCAACTGTTTATTTGCAAGCTCTCGTAAGGTTTTTTTTCTGGTGATATATTTTCAATATCAATCAGTTTATCATGACACACAGAAAACTGATTCCTTGAGAACAATTCCTTAATAGTACCACGTTCGTTTCCTAGCCTATACAGATCATCATCTTTTTCTATAACTGCCATAAGCACGTTCCGAAATTATTAAACTGTCAAACACCGAGCGGTCACCGGTGACCGCAACCACAATAGGTCTTTAATTGTGTCTATAATGACAGTAATGGCTTCTATAGTTATATATGTAAATATGGCTTTTATCTCGACTCAATAAAGTATATAGGTATTTATTAAATTGATTGACTTAGATCGCAAATATTGCTTTTGTTTTACTATTAATTTTCGTTTAGTGTTCTTATTGACTGTTTTGTTAATCTTGTTTGCGCAATGGTTGATTAAGTTTATCGCTATGGAGATTAATTTCGTAATGTTTGGACTATTATTAATATTTGGACATTGATTCAATGGACTACTTCATAATATTTGATATCTTTGATATATCTTTTTCCATAATGAATAAACACCAAACCATCTATTGAGGCTCTAAACCACGAAACTTCGGACTCAGCCATTTTGAAACTGCATTCAATATAACTATTTCTATGCCAGATCTAAAAATCTAATATCAACGTCGAAATACACGATTTACTATCTTCCCAAAGACGTTTCCTTCAAATTTGATATCATAAATCATGTATAAGGAAAATGTCATATTATAAGAGCCAGATTTCTCAACCAAAGCAAACTCCAACAGCCGGGAAGGAACAAGAAGATTTAATGTATGTACATTTAAATCAATAGCAACAAGACGGTACAACACATTTTACGATTACGATCGACGCTAGGTACACAAATTTAAAAATTTGATTGACGCGAATAAACCTAGGCAGTTCGCTGAGGAAATCCGAAACAAAGAATTTTATGAGCAATAAACGTCATCGTGAATTTTCTTAGAGTTCCGTATGGACGTAGTCGGAATGAGTTCTGAGTCATTGTTCTATTGATTGTAGAGTTGAGTCTTAAAATAAACTGTGAAAGAAAATTGCTGAGGTACCATACTTTGAAGCGCGGAATCTAAATTGATGTCTCATATTGGTTTCGCGATGGCTACTGGTGTATTTTTGCTTACTTAACACTTCTGAATTTATTGCTGTTTAGTAAGGTACCTTTGATTTTAATTAATGCATGTGACAAAGTCGCTCTCCGCCGTCTGTCTGTCCCTATGTACGCTTAGATCTTTAAAACTACGCAACGGATTTTGATGCAGTTTTTTTTTAAATAAATAGAGTGATTCTTAAAGGAGATTTATATGTATGATATATGCATACCGCACCCGTGCCGAGGCGGGTCGCTAGTATACAAGGTGTTGTTTTAAAGTCTGAATCAATAAAAAAAAAGTTGTAGGTAAATATTTTTTATTTTTCTGTAAATTACGGAAATCCGTAAGTGTGAACTACACGCCGCCGTCTTGTAACTAGCTTTATTACGCGGCTTAACACAAACAAACTCAAACACGTAATTGATATATTCCTAATTCCATAAAGCTCCAATAACAAACATTGCTGTCGCTTATTCTGAAATACTGTCGAACTTAAACGATTTATTTATTATAGCCGTATTTTTAATCATTGGCCCGAAACTTTCTCTTACAGGGAATAGAAGTATCAAAACTTTCAATCTCCAACGGAACATGACCAAAAATCTGAGTGTCGAACTTCTCAACATTTCACCTGTTGCCTCATCCAGGGTCAGATTTAACGACCGGCAATAATGCCCACATAAACCTGTTGAATAAAGGATATCTTCTTTAATTTACTGTTGTTATACGCCATCTTGTGTTTATTTCTAGCTACACGTTATCGTCTGTTGGTAAGAGATTTTATTAGTTTTTGAAACGAGATTTTTGATGTATATTCTCGAGCTACGTATGTATGTATAGCGTGTTTGAGATCATTCTGTTGCACTTACAGAGAATAGAATAGAGTTTTACCGTCACATTTTACAGAGATCGGGGAATAGAGATTGGGCAGCAGCACAGTAGTCAGTAGGGTTGGATTACCGGGTCGAATAAAAAAATCTTAGGAGTAGCACGGAATCTGGAATTGTGCCTGGTATAGGGCAATAGGCTCACCCCCTATTACATAGAACTCATAACATAAAACAGTGAAAAGTAGGTGTTCTTTAATGACTTCTCCCGCCTGGGTGAGGCGGGAGGGAGTGTCAGACTCTTAATGACTAAAAATCACCCCGTTCCTACTCCTGCCCTTCGAGCTGGAGCCCCGGCACCCCGTTAAGTCCTGCGCGGCTCCGTATCGGCATCAGTCCTATTGAGCCCCAACCGTGGTGGTCTGATGGCTATTTTAGCGCATGCTCGGGAAAAGTAAGTGTTATATTTTACAGTGATATTAAGTGCCGTAATGTGCACGTTATACCCTTTCGGGGATAAAAGACGTTATGTTATTTAATTTTATAAATTAGTTTGTCTGGTAAAGAGAATTAAAGATAAAGTACTATCTAATCTATTGAGATTTTCAAACAATTAGTATAATATTGTATTATATTTTAGAAGTATTAAGTCATGGTAAATAATTTATTTCCAGGAAACCGGATTCCAATTATTTCTAACTTTTATAACAAATCACAATCCGGTAAGTAAGTAGAAAATAAATCATCCCACACACAGCCGCAAGGCACACAACTGTTCCTGAACAAAATAAGGAATCTATTACACGTTCATACGTAGTTACTTCCATTTGGTATACGGCTAAACGGTTTTTTTTATACCACGACGGTGGCAAAATACCACACGGCCCAACTGATGGTAAGTGGTTACCGTGGCCTATAAACGCTTGCATGAGCGCTTGGTCTGACGGATCACCTGGAACATCAGAGGCGTTACAAGTGCGTTACCGGCCTTTTGGGGATTAGGAGTTTGAGGATCGTTGGGGATTCAGGAATTGGGGATATTGAGGAAAGGGAGGGTAATTGAGCCTCCGGTAACCTCACTCGCAAACGAAACACAACGCAAGCGTTGCTTCACGTCGGTTTTCTGTGAGGCCGTGGTATCACTCCGGTCGAGCCGGCCCATTCGTGCCGAAGCATGGCTCTCCCACACTTTTTTTTACATGTGCCTTGTCGACCCTTTATTTACTCTATTTACTCATTTCTTGACGAACCCCATATTGTAGCCCACTGGGAAAACTTTGGCAGGGAGTTCATTCGTCAAGCTTTACAAAACCACTTTGTCATGGTCTAGCTTTGTATGACTGTTCCGCACATTCAACGGTCAGTTTATATTGGTAATCGATAGCTTAGCGTATACCTACTTATGTGTGCCAGGTAATAACTTTATTAATATCTGACATAGAACAATTAGTAGAAAACATGAACTAATTAAACTAACTGGGAACTTAGAACATTATATTGAGCAGACGCTAAGCTAGTTCTCATAATGGAGCAATTTGGGAACTTTGTAAGCCTATTAATATTTTTTTTACTATACGTTGGGGTAACGTATACTAAAAAAAACTACACTAGAATTTTCTCCTGTATCGTGAGTGCGTTTACAAACATATAAGTTCACATACACATGACACCCGGACCCGAAACAACAATTTGTGGATCATACAAAGGTTTGCTCCGTGAGGGAATTGAAGCGGCAGCCGGTTGCCCAGCCACCACACCAACCGTGCCGTCGATATTTGTATACTAACTACATCATTATATACTACTAGTTACTTCTACGCTGTTTTAACAGCTCTACTCAACTCCTATTGGCCGTAACGTGATGTTTAACACTGCTATCCAACACAAAAAATAATAATTCAATTTGCATCAGCAGTTCCCGAGATCAGCGCGTTCAAAGGCATAAACCAACACTTTAACTTTATTTACTATTAATAATAATAAATAAAAATAGTATAGAATATAGAATAACAGGCATGATTTCCAGTCTTTGGAATACCGAAAAGAATCCATAGCGTGCATAAATAAAAAAAAATAGTATATTTCACCATATACAAATGAATACAATACATAGTCCGCGTTATAATATAACTGCGGTATTAAATAATGTAATTATACGGTAGTTTAGTCGACCATTGTCAATAAAATTAATTAATTTACAGTAAATTAATATACTCTCATTAGTTTAACCGTCTGTTCTGTGCGGTATGAACTTTGACGGTTTTTAATTAATGGCTTCTAGTTGTTCTCATATTATATTGAATTTTGTGCTAAAATATTGCCTAACACGTCAGATCTAAAAGAGAAATAATATAAATAAAGTTATTTGCTGTTTCTTCTTAATTAATTTTCTCGCTCTGACGTGTAACACTGTTATAAAAAAGCATGCTAAAATAGCATGCTTGAAAATATTGTATTGAGCATGCGTTCTATGCACGCTTATTCATTCGCAAGAATGTCCGAAATGAGCATGCTAATTTTGAGCAGCAAAGTCAAAGTCAAAAATTATTTATTTGCGTAAATAATGTACAGATAGTTTGTCATTTTTTAATAACCTAGGTCCTCTTATTTTACTTTCAACATCGGCGTGCAAAAATAATGTAGGTACTTACAAACTTGTCAAATTTATGTTTTTTTTTTAAATTAATTGTATTTCTCCACGGACTTGTATCCGTGCCCTTGTCATAAGTCAAAAAAAGTCAAAAGTCAAAATCATTTATTTCAATTAGGCCAGAATGGCACTTTTGAACGTCAACAAAAACAAAAATTTAAAGTGAAGCTATTTGCTCATTCCAAGGCGTAGATTCCTATGGAGAAGAACGAGCAAGAAACTCCATAGGTTACTCTTTTTCAATCAGGTTCACAATACAAGTTACTAGTTACATAGTTTTGCTGTTTTCATATTACAGTTACATTGTTTTCCTGGTCAAATCATTGTTATAAAGATCTTGCATGCTACGCTAACCACTAATATCTCTACACAAAGTCGCGGAGAACCTAACGGGTAACCGGGGCTCCGGCTCGACGTGCAGGAGAAGGAACGGGGTGGTTTTTAGTCAGTAAGAGTCTGACACTCCCTTCCGCCTCACCCAGGCGGGAGCAGTCATTCGATGAATTTCCCCCTTTAAAAAAAAATAAAAAAAAATCTTTACACAAAGTACTTGATGTTGTTATAGTAGGATTATCAAATACTTTTTAATGAAATAAAAAAAAATGCTATGTATGCTTACTATGTATTTTTAAAGACTACAATCTACCATTGTTCCAAATTTCAATCCGATCCCTTCATCCGTTCTGACGTGAAGGAGCAACAAACCAACATACAAACTTTCGTATTTGTAGTATTAGTGAAAATTGTATTGAATCTTTTCTTAAACCTATGACAATAAAATAAAGATCACAATTACTTAGAAGTTAGATTAGGTATCAAAGCGGTGGCCATTTTCATTCCAAACTTTTATCAGAAACAAACACGTAAAGGACAAATGCAAACAGATTTTAGATATTTTCAAAAATTGACAATCACTATTAGAAAACCCAATCTGCAAACATATTTCGTACTGAGAAAATATTTGAACTGAATAGAATATCCAGTAATGGGGAGTTGGGACGTACACACGGCACATCAAGTTATAAATCCAGTATATCATGATCTCGCTTTGTAGCATCATACTTCACATTAGACAGCCAGCTTATACTGGTTTTTATATCTTGACGTGTAGCCATATATCTAGCAAAAACAAATACGCTATATTGTTTCATGAGCCCTATTGCGATGTTTGTGAACAAATGTTTGCCAAACACACAAATGTATGTTGGTGATGATATTAAACGTCTTGTTTTAAATATCTTATGTTTAACAAGGGGATATTAGAAATAAGGGGACCATATTCCAAGGTCTTTTGCTATGCATTAAAATGACGAATCCTGTGTTATATTTTGAACCGATTACATTTTATGGCCCAATGATACAATATTTTGTAGGTACTCATTATAATAATAACATGAATTTATTTAATTCCGCAATAATTAACTCACATTAACATCATTAATTGTAATATCGGTAATTGAAACAGGAATTATTTCCGATTTATCCCAGTTTCGTAGAAAAGCTTATCATAATATATTAAAACGTATGGTTAAAATAACGTATTGGAAATTGTATTGAATAGAAATTTATTAAAATTGATTTCTTATTCTAAAACAATAACCGTTTTGATGACTATTGGACGTCATTATTCCGCATTACCCAAAGGTTTGGATGGAAGAGAATGTCCATGGCATTAGACCCACCTATGCACTTATTTTTGTTTATGAATGTTTTGTTTTTTTTAAGGGGGGAAAATCATCGAATGACTTGACCCGCCTGGATGAGTCAGGAGTGAGTGTCACACTTTTACTGACTAAAAACCACCCCGTTCGTATTCCTGCACTTCGAGCCGGACCTCGGCAACTCGTTAAGTCATCTGCGGCATTCATGAAGGCATACATTTATTTTATTTATTTAAACCTGCGCATTTACGTCTGAGTTTGTTTTGGCATTTCTTCTCAAAGTAGTCAGTTAGGAAATGTCGGCTTCATCGTTTACTTAATAAAATTGACGTGTAACAGTGCTGACTTGTATCAAGAACTTGAAGACTTGTTGACTTTGCAGAAATAAATTCACTTATTGTTTCATTTGTTTCACTTGTTCAAAGCCTAGATTTATTGCCATATCAAATGATTAACTAACTATATTAACTTTAAACTGAACTTCAAATATTTTGTTGATAGGAACCCCGTGTATAGGTCTCTTCCACTAGGTTGCATTCTTCTCTTTTATTTGCTCTTTGTATCCAACATTTTCCCTTGTTTTCAACTACATATATCGCCTTAAATAATCGAAGGCAAAAATACATAAATAACTTCACGTCTGTCTCCTATTGCGGTAGGCGTAGATTATGGAGCCAATTGCTACGATTCCTACATACCTCTTTCGGTTCATCAATAGTCATTAATCTTTTAATGCATGCCCGTCGGTTAAGGGTATTTTTAAAATGTATACTTTTACATACCTGTTGGCTATTAGCGCTGCCCTCCGTCTGGTCGAATGGAGGTAGGACGGAGCACAGCCTCCGCCCCATCAGAGAATACGATACCACCACTATGCAGCCTGTAAAGTGAAATAGCGATAAGATCAATTGATCATAGTATCATAGATCATAAAAACTGCCTCGTCGGCCGAGTGCCCCCCAAGTGCGACTGCTGGTCAAGGGGTCTCGGGTTCGATTCCCGGGTCGGGCAAAGTATTACTGGGTTTAAAAAAAAGCATGTCTCAGTAGTAGCACAGAGTCTGGAATTGTGTCAAGTATACGGCAATAGGCTCACCCCTTATTACATGGGAATCAAAACATAAATAGTGAAACGCTTTTCAACACCGTGTTACATAATACAGTGACATTACAAGTGCCTTAATGAGCACTTCTGCCTACCCTTTCGGGGATAAGAGTTATAATGTTAATATATGGGTATTAAAGCATAATTTTTAGGTAATAAAATTTGTATAATTCAATCAATCAACAGCCTACACGTGGCTACTTCTGACCAAATGCCTCTTTTCGTACGGAGAAGGTTTGAGCATGAGCATTAGCACGCTTGCTCAATGTGGATTGGCGATTTGAAACTTATAATTAGAAATTATAAGCCCATGTTTGCTAAAGATGTTTTCCTTCACATCATTATCATCTTAGAAAGTACATATAACTCGGAAAAGTCACATTGTTCCTTGGCTTAAACCTATTAGGTTTCGAACCCACTTTCTCATACATGAGAAGCGGACGTCTTAATCCCCCGGGTCACCACGACATTGTATACTTAAGTAATAGTATAATAGGTAGCACATGTATGTACCTAGGTAACTGTTTACATGTTCATTTTTAATCTAGCAGTTATGTAATTAATAATTCATTATAAATGATAATGATGTATTTCGGAAACCAAATCAATATACAAATACAAATTACTTGATTATACGAAGGATTGAGATAATTACACATGATAATAAATATTACTGATATATTTCCAGTTACCCAGAAGCATAAAAATATGCTCCATTGCCCTAATTTAACGTATATGGAGTACAAATAAATATACAAATTAACATTAATATTATTCAGTACGTATGACAAATTCAAATAACCAGGTTACCAAGCCACCATCATTTGCAACCTTATTTATATAAAGATACAATAATAATTCAAAGAAAAAATTTCTATTGACATCGGATATTAAATAAATTTGTTTTATAGAATGACATCGAAGTTATTGCTTTACAGCGGTGAGTAACACAGACTTTCTTTTTAACCAGTTTAATGCGAACAGAAATATTTTGGGACATATTTTTTTTACTCAGTCTAAGTGCTTTTAGCTACTCCTGCTTGTAAAGAAGTGGGATATTTAGTTTTATGCTGAGGTAAACAATATTATTTTAATGAACAATAATAAAATTACCCGTAGGTTGTGTAGCTCTGATAATTTCAATGTTAAAAGCAAAGTAACAACGGATCAATTTTTTATGGCATACTGGCGTCTGCTCGTTTACCGGCTAAACGAGCAGACGGATCACCTGATGGTAAGCAATCGGCGTCGCCCATGGACACCTGGAACACCAGAGGCGTTACAAGTGCGTTAAGTTAGTGTAGTTAGCGTTAGGGCGGCCTTTTGGGGATTAGGAGTTTGAGGATCGTTGGGGATTCAGGAATTAGGGAGATTGGGAAGGGGAGGGTAATTGGGCCTCCGGTAACCTCATTCACACGACGAAACACATCGCAAGCGTTGCTTCACGTCAGTTTTCTGTAAGGCCGTGGTATCACTCCGGTCGAGCCGGCCCATTCGTGCCGAACCATGGCTCTCCCACACATTTTTTTATAGTTTTATTTCCATTATTAAGTTGTTATAACTAGTCTAGTTTGAGATCAAGGTTCAATATTATAAGTACATAGCTTCAGTATTAACCGACAAACTGTGATTAAACTTATATTTCTTTTTTGTTTTATGTTCAAAAGTGCCTTACTGGTCTAATTTAAAAGTAGGAAAGTATTATAACCCGGTTACCAAAATTATTAAATAATAATTAATTAATTATCCCCCAGTAATTTGTACAGATCAGCCGAATGGAGTCACAACGAACACAATAAGTACACCACGGCCTATTCCATAAAGACATGTAATATTACGATATTACACCATCTAATTACGCAGCTTCCTATTCCAGGAAAGATTGTAATCAGTAGTAATTATAGTACAAAGATATAAGGAGGTCCCTTGTCACCTACTAATGTCTCTGCCATTTGACCTCGCATTATGTAAGGGGAAACCGTGTGTAGAAACCACATCTAACAATAATTAGTTAACAGAGCTTTACTTAAGATTTTGAGCCGATGGTAAAAATGTTTTGACAATATTGTTTTTAAATACAATACATGCATACATAACTTCACGCCTGTCTCCCATCGGATTAGGCAGAGACTATGGAACGCCAATTGCTACGATTCTTACAAAACCCTTTCGCTTCATCAACAGTCATCAGTCTTTTCAGGCATGCTCGTCGGTCGGTCGGTCGGACTAGATTGGCGATATATTAAAGAAGGGCCAAATTAAAAGTACCGGAACCGACAATATATTATGTCGTTTTTAAAACATAATTTTAAGTGTGGGAGAGCCATGCTTTGGCACCAATGGGTCGGCTTGACCGGAGTGATACCACGTCCTCACAGAAAACCGACGTGAAGCAACGCTTGCGTTGTGTTTCGTCGTGTGAGTGTGAGGTTACCGGAGGCCCAATTACCCTCCCCTTTCCCAATCTTCCCAATCCCTGAATCCCCAACGATCCTCAAATTCCTAATCCCCAAAAGGCCGGTAACGCACTTGTAACGCCTCTGGTGTTCCAGGTGTCCATGGACGACGCCGATTGCTTACCATCAGGTGATCCGTCTGCTCGTTTACCGACTTGTGCAATAATGATAAAAAAACATCTTTTCTTTCCAGAAGTAGACAGGAGTGCAAAAAGTTACTTTTCGTATTAGCTTTAATTACATCCGTATCTAATGAAGGGCTCGTTCACAAAACTGCGATGCGACGTCGCACGCAACAATGTGCAAGCTCCCTCTACGCATCGCAAAAACTTGCGAATTGATTCGCATCAAGATCTTATCTTCCCAAAAACTTCTTTGTTTCTTTTTCTATATCTCCTAAGAAGTGCACACCTATTTTAACGATCCATGTCACGATCTAGTTCTCAATTTAAAATACGATTAGTACGGTTGACGGTCGTCGAAGGAAGGGTCACCCTGGGAGACGCCTTGTCGCACGAAATCGCATCGTAGCAATTCGCATCGTAATTTTTTATACGTAATTTGATACTTCAATAATAGAACTTTGTTTGTGAATCTTGAAATCAAACCCACATTGAATGTTAATTTCATCCAAGTAACGTTATGAAACAACATTTTGTACCGATAAGAAATTAAGTTATACATCGAGAAACATACGATGTCTGTCTATGTTTTCATAGACACAGGCGATGTTATTTTAGGTAATTAGGTTGCTCTGACTCTTGCTAATACTCGAGACTGCATATAAACTAACTTAATTAATTTCTAGATATGTGTTCTAAAATCTTCCTTTATTATGATCTTCCTTAAGTAATGTAACATGTACGTACCTATCTAAACAAAAATTAAAATATATTTTTAAAAATTGCAACTAATGTGTCGGCCATCTTAAACTTGAACTTAAAAATTCTTCAATATGAAATACTTCTTTTCAAAGCAATTGTAAAGCTTCCGATACAAAAAATAAACTTATTTCTTCCTATTTTCTTCGTGTACATTTTACTTCACTTAACGTTAACATACTTAAAATTGTATTAGTCTTCCTTGTATAAAAGGATTCCAAAAACAAGTCGCCACTTGTAATTTAATTTATCACTTGAACCTAAAATCATGAAAGGACTTAAATTACGACTTCTATTTTGACAAAACGACGTAAATAAAGTTAGGAGGAAAAATATATATATATTCTTTGAAGAGGTATATTTTTCGTTTGAACCGTTTCCACATAATTTGAGCTATATACAAACATGACATATCCGGGGAAGACGTCCAAATTCCACAATATCAAATCATGTAAACGTCTCCGTTATAGGGGATGGAAAAATATATATTGTACAACAAATGTTATTTCATTGTTTAGGTAGTATTGTTTGTTGCTTTTTCTCGTGAATTCTAAAAAGATTTTTGGGTTATTAAAAAACATTTTCACTTCTATTTGGTGTCTTAATATAAGTCAACATTTGATGTAATGAGTGGGCCATTACAAACGTCTCAGGAATATGACAATGTCACTCAACTCGCATAAGTGTGAGTGAGAGGTCTGATAAAAATGGTGTATGACAGTTCGTACGACTATAATAGCCCAACGCTAGTTCGTTATATGATTACATTATAGTCAAAACAATTACTCTGTCGAAAAGCTGAGAAGTTGTAAAATACCATTTGGAAAAAAACATTAATATATTTCGTTTTTATTTTTTTATTGAACATGTTTTGTCTTCACTCATCTTTCATACTATAATATTCGATCAATAAATTAACAGTAATATAATACTCTTAACGCGAGAGAAATGAAACTTTGTTTTTGTTTAAATTTCGCGTCAAAATTTTCTCTAGAAAATTAATCAAAATTTTACAGTAATGTAAGCAAAATGTTCGTTTAGAAAATTATGAAAGACGGAACGGTGGCTCCGAGTCGAGTATTTCCTAATGAGCACTTATTTGTTTCATCAGAACTTCAAAGGATACTCAAGTAAGTAAGCAGCTGAATTTATTCTAAAAATAAATTGTATTTATTTAAGAATTATCACCCTGTGTTTAATTGAATCTATTTCTGTGTGAATGGCTTTAAATACAACGTGTTGTATTAATTCTAATATGAAATAACGATCATTAATTTAAGTGAAAGGACAATTTATGTTTGAAATGTTACGAAGATTATTTCTTGGTATTGAAATTTAACGGCTTACAAGAGTTTTTCTTGTAAACGTTATCTAGATAAATATTATCAAATTATGGTCATTTGTTAAAGTTTAGATAACAACCACTTTTACATTGTTATCTTATCTTATTAAAACCTTTTTCTAAGACTAAAATTTCTCGAATGAAGGTACAAAAAATTACGTAAAGTAAGTTTTATCATATAGTACCTTTCTTATACCAGTAGATACATAATATAAATATCTCCTTTATAGACAGAATTGAAAATGAAGTGTACCTTAGTACCTATCTATATTATTAACGTACTTACTTATTTCATGAAGTAAAACTTCACAAACTCCAAAACAAAACAAATTACTTAAAGTTGAGTGAACAAACTCGGATGTTAGGAAATATTAATGTACATGACTTGTGTGACGTCATTACGAATTTCCGCATCGAATGTATTGATTCTCATTTTGTTTTTGTTATACGCGCTCCACACAAATATATGGCATAGATGAAATAACATAATTTTTTGGTTTTCCAGGTATCTATGGACGACGCCGATTGCTTACCATCAGGTGACACCCGTCTGCTCGTTTACCGACTTATGCCATAAAAACAATAAAAATAAATTAAAATGTCAGTGCTACACAATGTGAACACAGAAGTGAATAAACATTTGCGCGCATGTATGGTGCCGCTTTTATGAAATATAAATTAATTTAACCGCTTTTCTTTTTATTTCACCGGCTATATTCTCACTGTACTCCGAAGTAGAGATTAACTAGAAATAATTTCTTTAGTGGTAAGTTAACTTATAATAGACTTTATATATACAGAAGATGTCCATTGCTTGTTTAAACTTATCAAACCTTCAAGAAAAGAGAGAATTCCTTTTTAAAAGGCCGACAACGCACCTATGACTCCTCTGGTGTTGCGGGTGTCTATGGGCGGCGCTGATCGCTTACCATCAGGTGATTTGTCTGATCATTGGTCTCCTATTCCATAAAAAAATATATATATAAAAATGTAACTATTTATTTCGTTTCAGGTACCCATGGTCCATGAGGTCACCAGCATAAAAGTGAGATGAGAGGAACTAGTTCGCCGTTTTCGAAAAATGGGTATCATATTTTAATTTGTTTATTGTATACATTATATTGTACCACGCCTTTTTATAAAATGTTTATATTACAACCTATTTTATTCTGAAGAAGTATTATTTTATCTACTCATAAGAATAACATTTTGAATTTAACGGCCACGTGCCACCGCCATATTGGACTCCGGTAGCTATCCTTAAGCTCACGACCATAAAATACAAGCACGTGAAAGATATTAATGATCATCACAGACAGACAATTGTACATGTTATATATTCTCTTTTATGAAAATGCTATAACATATAATTCCATAGAAAGTACGAGTCATCAACATTGTAAACATTGATTACATACTGTTTATGCCTAATGGAGTAAAAAACTTGCTTAAGGACATACTTATACTTTTTACTTAAATTATATAATTAATAGAAGTTTTGCTTCATTGGTGTTTGAACTACTAGCTATTAAGATTCATGAGGTACCGCTTGATTATAGAGTTACCCTATTGATAACCCTAAAAAGACAACCTACAAGATAATACAAATAAACCTTCAATGTAAAGTATAATACAAATCTGTAAACTGTAAAATTAATTAACTTTACTACGTCTCGACAACAGACTAGCTTTAAATTTCGTAGACGCCTACGTCCGCTACGAGCTACGGGCTACGAAATCACGTAGCAAACTAAGTGATTCGAATAAAATAAATAAGATTCAGTGAACAGCTGTTACGTGAAGTCAGCGCTAAAATAAACTAGTTACAGTTTCGCTGTTACAGATATTTTGTTAGAAAAACAGAGAATAATGGAGTTATTGTTGAAACGTGGTCGAAATGAAATAAGAACAAATATAGAAATATGAATTATTTACTGTTACAATGCAGATGACTAGGTCGTTGTATATTTTAGTAGTTAAACGTAAAAACAGCGGTAAAATTCTTCATTTTTGTAAATATTCATTAATTTACAAATTTCATGACTTCATTATTACCCAATCATAGCCGAAGAAAACCATGAAACTGACGATTTTCCGCAAAGAAATATTTATATGAAAATGTCCATATCGAATTTATTACAATCGTCTTTTGATGAACCATAAAATAAAAGAGATATAAATATAACAAGAAGAATCGCACGCTACCTAACCCCATAATCGAATTGAGTTAGATAAATCGAATTGGAAAAGTAAAATTAATTTTACCTCCCTTCACACGCAGAAGTAATTTCCGAAATTTCCGACATATTCGGGCTCGCCAGGCCGTGTAATAATAACGTGTGACAAATGACCTACTCTTGTCCCCACGAACCTATTTTTACGGTAAAATCGGAAAGGTACTAGATTTTCTTTTCTCAATACATATTTTTATTCGACACGTGTCGCAGGCACCTTAGTATGCCTAGCTGTAAGGAAGAAAAAAGTGAGATAAATGTAGTAATTTCTACAAGTGACCTAAGACGATTTAGAAAATAAAATATTTATACATATTTAATTTATACTGTCTTCATAAAGTTTTAGAATATATAATACATTATCTATCTTCGTATTTTCGTATCACAAACTCTCAAACATAGAGTTGTTATACAACCTGATGTAATATGTATCTACCTCAAGACAAGTTATGAACGTTTTGCGAATTAGATTGCATTCAGGTTCTTTAATATATAAATATACAATATCACGCCCTTTAGCCTCAAAGGGGTAGGCAGAAGTGTGCATTACAGCACTTAATGCCACTGTACGATGCAACACCCACTTTTCACTATTTATGTTATGAGTCCCATGTAATAGGGGCTAAGCCTATTACCATATATCGGGCACAATTCCAGACTCCGTACTACCACTGAAATTTTTAAAAAAAACCTAGTAGTACTTTGCCCGTCCCGGGAATCAAACCCGAGACCCAATGCCCGGCAGTCGCACTTGCAATCACAAGGGCAACGAGGCAGTTATTTAAAATATTTCAAGAAAATATAAGAGTAGTCTCATGACAATGACGCCACTATGTGAAAACACAAAACCAGTGAAGTTGCTTGAACACTTGAATATTTAACACTCACCGGGCACAGCGTACACGAGGACGAAACTGAACGCGCCAAACAATTCCTTTTTTATTGAGTCCGGCCATTTTTCTGTGCAGAATTCGATGCTGCGCTCGACCCAAACCTGTGTGGACAAAGTGCTGGTTTAAAATGCAAATTTAAACAAACAAAAAAGGTTTCAATTCCATGAATGCTCTCTGACGAGTTCATTCATTCGCGCGTGAAGGATCTAAATTCACAAGCCGCTAGATATGAAACTAAAATATATTCACTCACTGATTAAACAAAAATGAATCATTTTAGTTTGAATTACCAACATATAAAGTGTATAACTATTATTAAAGAATTTATGGAACTAGTAGTCCATTTAACTTACACATACACATTCATATAAGTTTGAGCATGATTCATAAAAGCTTCAAAGCGTACTAGAGCATTATTCTGCAGTGCAACGTCATACATTATGCATGTACTTGTAACATAGTACGAACAGTCACCTTAGGGAAATATTACACAGTCGTTCCTAAACGTAGTAAAATGAAAGTTTGTGTACGTGGGCTACACAATATCAAGTTTTACGAACCAGTATAAACTGATCGTCGAATGTGAAGAAAGATTATATAAAACGAAACCATAATAAACTGGTTATGTTTAGCTCGATGTGTAGTTGTGACTACCAACCCTATCCATACAAAAGCCACTCCGCTCTTTTATGGTCGAGTAAAACCGTTTAACCTACAAGTAGTTATACTGCTAGGGTTGGCTACAATAATTAGCTGTTATGAGGATATTTACTTTTATAATAAAGAGGCATTGCGTTGTTTGGGGTTCGTTTGTGGTAAGAAGAGCTTCATAATCACATGAATGGTCTTTTCTATAAAAAATAATGATCTAATTCTACTGACTCAATTTTTTTTTTTAATGTATACAATCTCTCTAAATCTGTGATTAAGATACAAGATGCTGATAGAATTAGGCTCTTGACTGCTTATAGAAAACTGTAAAGGGCAAATCTTCCGCTATCGTGACCCATTATGTTGTCCCCCATGGCGATCAAAATGTTCGGAGCCATTTCGTACTGTTTTTAAAGAATAATTTTATAACAATATGGTTTAATGGCAACATGATATCTCTTTGTCTATGTACATACATACGCAAATTGGTTTATATAAGCCCACGTATTATACCAAGTCAGGTTTCATAGAATATACGCATCGTTTCATACGTCAGTTACAAAACTCCCACAAGAAATATATATAACACTTGAAAGTTATGAAAGTACACTGAAATAAATATGGAATACAATTGTCAATAAGTAACTTTTAATTGGAGCTCCGATTTATGTATACACATTTCAATAAAAAAATCTATATTTAGAAAGGAAAATACGTGTCGTTTAAACAAAAATGTTTTACGTTTTTATGGACCTTTTTGTAATCATTGAGAGATTACTACGACGAGAGCTGACGGCTCAATCGTAGATAATAATTTACTAAAACATTTCTATCACTTAAGTTTATCACTTTTGTCCGAAATGGTATAGAAAAATTTTATTTTTTTATGAAATATATTTCGCCAGACAGTACTCTAAACGTCACAATACAATTGCGTATAAAAATAAAGAATAGTACGTGACTTATCGTAAAAATGTAACCAGTTTTCGCTTTTATCTAATTTCATTTTGTAAATAAAAAGTGTCAATAAAAAGCCGATTTTCAAAATATTACGATAAGTACTTACATTTTTATTTTAAATGAAAAGTAAACGAAATCGTATATCTCTGTAACTGTATTCAGCCTGAGTAAGTCGTTGGCAAACTTCAAAATATCTATGGCCGTCAATCCCTGAAAAGCCACAAAGTTAGACGAATATTGCACCTACTAAGAACGAGATATCAACCTTAGTGTGTTGTTCACATTGATCAGTTACATAACATTAACATACATAACATAACATCACGCCTTTTATTCCCGAAGGAGTAGGCAGAGGAGCACATTACGGCACTTAATGCCACTGTACAATGTCACTTCACTATTTATGTTATGAGTCTCATGTAATAGGGGGTGAGCCTATTGCTATATACCGGGCACAATTCCAGGCTCCGTGCTACTACTGAGAATTTTTAAAAACCCAGTAATACTTTGCCCGACCCGGGAATCGAACCCAAGACCCATAATCAAATTAAGCACAATTCTCACAGATTCAACCACAAATAGAAGGATTTTGTATATGAGTAAAAATAACTGGACTTTTCTATTTCTAGCCATCTGTTTTCTATTTTCATTGCAGCATCCGTGTAGCTGACAGGCTAATATTTTTATCACGATACTAAAATTCCCCTAAATGTGTCAGCAATTTTTCCGTATATTTTGAAGCTTGGGACTTAAAATAGTGATGTTAGTATACAGCTCTGTATAAATTGGTAGTAGCAAAACCCTATTGGTTTTTTATTGGCATAGAGTAAATGGGTTTCGTCTATTCACCAAATATGGGACTGGACGCACTGAAAATCTGTTTATATATCTTCAGTGCATCTAGTGCATATCAGTCAATTCAATACTGTATAAATCACTAGACAATTTAATGAGTTCACGATAAGAAACTCGTAGTTAGTAGCCAAGCAAAGACAGAAGTTACAAGTAATACATGTTTTGTTGAACAATTTATATGGGCTCTATACTACCAATCAGGCCGTATATTTGGTATAAATAATGAAAGTAGTTATTGAAAAATGAAATAATATTGTATGGCCATCAAGATTAAGAATGTGTACCAAATATCAGATGGATCTGTCATTAGGAAGAGTGTAAAATACCAATGACTAAATATGACCCAAACAAAGGGAGCAAGCTAAATAAAACCATTTATAAATGAAAACTTCGTATTTGACCTCAATGACTAGGTCTGGCATAGTTATCAAAATTATAAAAGGCCTGGATCCACCGATGTATCAGATAATAACTTCGTTAATTCAATTAGTTAGGACATCGTAATACATTCACAAATTCAATTCAAAAGATAAAGATAACTTGAAAGTTCATCAAAGGGTTCTAGTTAAACAACTTCGCAGAAAGAGTTCTTGGCATGACTACGTAATGCATTAATCTAGAAACTTGAATTTAACTGAAGTTTTTCTTTTAACATTATCATGACTTCTATTACTCGTGGACATTTGTAGGGTTAATTTTTTATCAAACGAGCAGACGAATCACCTGATGGTAAGCGATCAGCGTCGCCCATGGACACCCGCAACACCAGAGCAGTCACAGGTGCGTTGCCGGCCGTTTAAAAAGGAATACGCTAACCCATGTCACAAAAAGAAGGTTTAAGTTTACTATTTGGTTGGTGTTTTCTAGATATGCCTCTTTAATACTTTTCTTTTTTAGTCTCTTGACTGTCACTATATAAGACACAATAGAAAATATATTATGTCTCGCGTAGATCTATGTTTCGACATACCACGCGTTAAATGATAAGTAGTCCTGTATAGATGAAGAAAGAAGCCTCTTTGTTCTGTAATAAACCCGATTTGTTAACTAATAGGACGTAATATCAAGTAATACGAAGTAAGCATTATTGCTTTCCGTATTAAAGCTTGATTCCGCACTCCTTATGAGAAAATAGTAATGAGAAAAGGAGTGATCCTTCATTTACTATACCTATAACTTTGTATACATTTATATTTCAGGATTTCCTTGTTACTTATTTTACTCGATTAATTAGATATTTAAAAAGCCACCGATTAATGAATCCAAATTAGCAAAACAGTGATATTGCTAAAATCTATTAAATGAAACCCGTTTCCCGTTGTCACGCCATAACTTGAGAACGACTAGACCGATTTGGCTGATTTTATTTTTATTGTGTTTGTTATTGTTAGGAGAAGATTGTTATGACAGAAAAAAAATCCTGAAAATCCTACGGGAACTGGAGAAAACGGGATTGCACGTACGAAGGCGCGGGCAGAAGCTAGTATATTATAAAGTTATTTCTTGTAAACCGTTGTAAGACCACAAGTCTAACATCGGTTTTAATTAACACCGTCATTTAAATCCTAGTGCCCTGTAAATTTTATGAAACTAGTGTTCCATATTTATATTTAATTTTATTGTTTTCCTAGTTATGTAATACTTTAAGTATGCAAATGAAAATATAAGTGCACGTTTTGTTAATCAAATAATACAGCAAGTTAATACAGCTACGATAGCGTAGCACTCGTAGCGATTACTGCTACGGCGTAGCAACTTCGTAGAACCTCCAATGTTGGAATTTTGTCGTTTTACTAAACTTTTGTGGGGGTTTAGATGCTATAAATGACCAATTAGTGTACACCCACTGTAAGTTGTAGTCTAAGAAAGGGATAAGTTAAACACTTAACCACTAAGCTCTAGTACTTAAGGCTCTACAAGGAACTTGGTGACAATCTCTTCAGTTTGCTTGTATTGTCAACAATTCAACATTGAATTATTAATCTCTTAGGACGAGACGTTATATATTACGATGAATATTTTATGCAAATATAAACTTTGACAATCTTTAAACAGATAGAAATAAAAATTATTTCAATTAGTTGTTAAAACTTTACAGACGAGATTGAGTTTAAAAATAATTATTGCAATGTATTCTTCTGTAGTTTAAATTATTGACAAATAAACTCTATATTTAAATAAATATCACATAAAGTTATATAGCACAAACGTATGTTTAAGTTTCTATATCCTAAAATATTGACCCTACCACACAATAGCGAGTGAACATATCCGTATGAACGTACGTCATATCTCTCACAATTGACGTTTATGGTATGCGTGGGATCGTACGCATAACTATACAACAGGCTAAACAAAACCAATTTATCATGGTCACACATAAAGTGATCTTTCCCCACAATCAATGGTCAATTTATACTGGTTTTGCGCAGCTCAACGTGTAGCCTAACACGGTCATACTGAAACGTCGCCATATAAAGAACTTTATGAGGTCCCCGCTGTTAAAATTTGTTATTTTTTCTTTTGATGGATTTAATTTCCTTATTTATGAGGTATTTTGATTTTATAGCTATGTATGTCGTTTTGAAAATGAAGGGTGAAGAGATGAAATTGGTTATATACCTTTACGTGACAT